AGTTGCTCAAGCTAATCAAAGTTTGTTCTAGCCGATCTACTGTAAAAACTTCCCCACCTTCATCACGACAGGGTGTCAATAATGTGAGTTGGTCTGGATAGGTTTCATTCACATTCAAAAAGCTCATGTTGGTACATTTATAACCCCTTTTTTTTAAACTGGAGCTCTCTCCATCATGTATCTTTCACGCAAACTAACTAATTTATCTGAGATACAGCTACTTCCTTCACAATTTTCAATGATTCGGATGTCAGCTGTGTATGGCTACGATCGATAACAATGCGGCAGTCGACTAGGTCGAGCAGCATGATACGGTATGTCACGCCCCTTGTGGCACCGCGGTGTCAACGTAACTTCGTAAGGCCAGTCGTCTGCTCATTCTGTATCGACCATTTCCATTGACTACAGCTCGCTTCCCTTTTCTACTGCTGATTTTAACATGCCTGTCGTGCTGAATGTTGGTGGAACCAGATTCGAGACATCACTTGAGACATTGAAGAAGAACCCGGGTCCTCGAGACAGGAGTATGCTAGCGAATCTGAATTATGTGGTGAGTTAGCATTCTATTACATTGTCTGAAGTATCGTTGATCTTATATGTCTGGAATTTGCAGGAAGGCGAGGAAATGTTTATAGACAGGGATCCTGCGCATTTTGTCGTGATTCTAAACTACCTTCGCGATGGCAGCGTGAGCATTGACGAAGATGAATGCACGCTTGCTGAAATAAAGCGTGAGGCTCAGGTTGGCTCCATTTTACTACGAAGATAAACTTTTTTCAGTTCTGAACTTTGAAACCATTTAGAACTGGCTGACGGTAGAGATAAACAGAACGATTGATTCATCCTTTTTTTTCTTTCAGTTTTACGGACTTGAAGACCTTGTGCAGCACATCGAGGGCCTGATTTCTCGTGCGCTCCTAGCCAGTGTCCCGTTTGATTTTTTGAGGAATCTCACGCCTGGTGACGCCTTCGCGATCCGCAGGAATTATCCTTGATCATAATGCATTTCACTGCTGCAGTGTTGTCCTCTTTTTTGCAGAAATAAATGCATTTGTTGATGTCAGTGTGTGTTCAAACTGA